AGCCGGCGCCGTGTGGTGGTGACTAACATCGGCCCTGGGTCTGCAATTACGGACCCCACTTCTATCTAGCAATGTTTGGGATGCAGTCCTATATTGGCTAATACATAGTAGACACAAATCAGTCGTTCTCGAAACGGGCACCTCATCCACGGATTTGTTCGTTAGTACACTACACGTGTTTCTAAGGTGTACCTTGGTCCGAGTTGTACCCGCTATCTGGTAACCACGGTGTACGTTAACCCCGGTTGTATCTGCAATCGTACCGTGGCGACTGATATGAACCTGTTGGGTGCTTGGGACTTGGTCGTTAACATATGGGGCTTGGTTGGAACGGGTGGCAGCAACAGTAGTCGTCTCGCTACTCGACACCGCAATTCGGGTCGCCACGACAGGTGTATACGAGATGGTGCAATTAACGTTGTCGTCGTTATATAGTGCCTTGTTTACACTGTCTCTAGGAACCACTGTAGCATACTGCGCAACGATGGGGTTGGTGGGTGGTTGTACCGACTCACCGCTACCCGGCGAGTACTGAATCTTCAAAATAGCTGGACGCTTACGCTCAGGTGTGTGAACCAATTGCAAACAACCCGTTGGGTCTGCCTGCGTACTGCACCTATGCGATATCCCGGTGACGGGATTGAGGGTTGTATCACACACCTCGCACGCATACTCAAACAACTGTAGCATGTGCTTGGCAATCGGATTCGGGGCCAACTTAACCCGGCGCGCCCGGCAATTGGGGCATTGATTGCGTACCAGTTGTCCAACACAGTCCTCACATAACGTAAATGAACAGCACGTCGTCGTCGTTACGGTCTCTGATACTTGTACACATACACCACACGTAAATATCCGGTCACAGAGCTCGCTACCATTCACCAAGTAGTCAATTCCCGTGCGTGGGATTCCAGTACCAGCAATCATTCTAGCTGCCATCTATTTCATACTCGCTTGAGGGGCGTAGGAGTTAAACTAAACAGAATTCCCCCAAACGGTCTGTATATATAGGCCTCCCGATGGCAAAACATAACAGCGGTCGACGGTTCAACCATGATTGGTGGACCACCCCCCTCGACCATCACCCATTTTAGTATAAATATCGACCGCAATCGGTCATTATACTTCATACGTTCAATTGTATTACATGAAAAGTATACAAGTAAGTGTTAGGATTTAAAGTAAAATCATAATAAGATGTATACACCACCTGCCGCCACCGTGACCTATAATAAGGACCTGGATCTAAGCCCAGCCACTCTGGCTGCGGCGGTCGCCCAGATTAAGGATAGCGGTCGACGCTCGCCTTTACCCCTGTCTGTGGAAGTTGTCCGTACGCCTCCCCCCTGCACGCCTATCCGGACCTCTGATGTCACGAACCCGAGGAATGTGGTTAATCGGCTTAGACCGAAGATCATTAGCCAATTCACGAATGGATACAAGACTGTTCGTGTGTACCGCCACATGATTGTCAAGTTTTACAAAGGAGATGCCGATGTCGTTGCGTGTGCTAATCACGAGCACCAGATGGCCATGTTGTTTGCAAACCATCC